CGGCCCCCGCGATAGCCATCGGCCCGCGACATCTTGTCGTGTCGTTGGCGACGTGCCGCCGCGTCCTTCACCTGCCGCGATGCGGTGCGCGAATGCCGCCGCCGCTGCGGCGAGCTTCAACACCTCCGGCGCGTCGCCCCGTCACATGATGCGGCAGGGGAATGCTTTCCGCCGCGTGCGAACGACTGGCCGGCCCGCGCTCCGCGGCTGCCGCGGCTGCACCCGCTCCGGCGGCCTGCGACACGACGTCGTTGTATGTGATGGCGGAGGGCTCATATGCCAAGCAGTAGCGGGGGAGACGGTATCGCCAGCAACCTTTCATCTGCCGGCTCCACGGCGTGATGGTCGATGGGTGGAGCAGGGATCGACGGGATGGCCTGCACGACGTTGGTTGTGGGGACCGCAAAGAGGGAGCCGCTCTCGGGAAGCGCGTCTGGGAGCATCTCTGCCACTGGTAGCGCCTCCGGTAGCACATCTGTGTCAGCCTCTGGGAGCGCCTGTGGGAGCATCTCCGGCGTGTCGCTTACTGGTGGGGCCACCTTCTCCTCAGCTTTGTGTTGGGTTTCTTCCCACCCTCTGTATGTAGCGTATGTACATATTTAGTGCTGGAATAACCCATTTTAGTCGTTTACGTGGACTCAAGCCTCACTCTGCGGGTTCGACGGCGCGGCCCTCGAGGTCCCGGCGACGCTCGCAGGCCTCGTGGTGCTTGGCGCGGTCCTGGAGGCCGAGCAGGCTGGCGCAGCCCCAGGGGCAGCGCGCGCGTAGGGCCGAGGCCCAGGCGGCGAGCAGCAGGGCGGGCCGCGTGGCCAGTGGGCCCCGGCACACGGGGCACGTCAGCACGCCCAGGCGGCACGACGCGCACACCACGTGCCCGTTGACGCACGTCCACATGGCCTCGGACGCCTGCGCCGACGCCTGGTAGCACACGGGGCACTCGAGCTGCTCCAGCAGCACGGCGCCGGCGGCGGGGCACGCCTGCGTGATGTCCATGACGCGCTCGTTGTGCTTTCCTACCGAAAATGGTTGTACCACCGCAGCGATTAACCCACCTGCGTGACCTGAAGGGCGATCAGTTCCCGGACCACTCCCCTCAGGAACTGCGCCGAGTCCTGGAGGGTGTCCGCCGTGGCGGTGAGCTCGGCCACCGCGGTGGACGCGCTGTCCATCATGGAGCGCAGGTCCTGGACGGCGCGGTCCCGCTCCGGGGTCGCCTCCACGCCTGGCCCCAGGCCGCGCGAGCACAGGGCCTCCGCCGCCACCCCCAGCGTGTGCACGCGCAGCTGCAGGCTGGACTGAACCTGTCGGGTGGGGCCGCAGCACCGTGTTGCTCTGGAGTAAGTAACGGACTCTGTGCGAACGGCGGTGGCCTGCAAGTCCACCTGTGTGATGCTGCGCGCCGCGCCCTCCGCCGCCACCACCCTCTCCATCAAGTAGTCGGTGCAGGTCTCCGTCAGCGGCTCCCGGGGCGACAGCCGATTGGACAGCTTGATCAGGCAGTCGGTGGCCTCGTTGACGCGGCCGGCCGTGCGGTTGAGCCCTTCCACGACCTGCGCGGTGGCGCGTTAGCTCCTGGACGCGGGCCGCCGCCGCACCCCCTCCTCGCTCACCCTGACGAGGTCCTTGGCCATGGCGACGCGCTGGCACGCGCAGTGCAGGCTGGCCTGGGTGCACTCCCCCGGCCCGCGGCACGCGCCCAGGTAGCCGCCGTCGCCGTGGGGCAGCATGAGGGCGTGCGTGGTGGCCGTGGTGCTGCGCACCAGCGCGATCATGCCCTCCGTCACGTGGATGGTGCGGCGCACGGCCTCGATCAGGCCCCGCTCCGTGTCCAGGAGGCGCTCCTCGGTGCGCGTCAGCAGCTTGGCGACGTGGATCACGTTGACGGAGGCAGCCCCGTCCCGGGGTCCCACTCTGCCGGGCGCTTCCACCCCCGCCGACACACACAGATCGGACGCCATCCTGACGGAAGCAAGGCAATCTCTCTTCAGGGTTTCCCTCTCAAGGTCGTCGTCACGTCATCATCGTTTGAAAGAAGAAAGCGCCAGAAAATAAAAAGTGACTTGCCGGGAGCGGGATGCGAACCCGTGAACGCGCGCGCCATACTCAAGGGGATCAGACGCAAGGAGACCAGCCGGCCAGACTGTTGGGGGACTTACTGGGGGGAATTTACTTACCCGTCGATGAACACCTGTTCTGGCTTTCCATGGCAATGCGGTGTTTCATTGTTGTTGGACTCTGATAAAACCCCTCTAGTGAGCTTTTTCGGCGAACGGTTATCGGAATGTGGAAATTTCGAAATGTCGACTTTGACTTGACCGGGAGCCTATCAGCCCACGCGGCGGGAGGCGACACGGCCGCTCGCTCGCGGGTTACTACGGGGGAGCGTCGCCGTTCCCGGGGGACGCGGATATATTATTTTTACTGCCATTCTATCCCGCCCCGCCGCGCGCTGTCGCGTTGCGGCCCCGTGCTGTCCGGCTGACGGCTAGCCATTCGTCGAACTGGGTGTTGGTCACCGGACCAGATGTCACATTACCACACATTCGGCCCGACTCGGCCGACGTACAGTAATCTGTCTCCGAGGCCTGCGGGGCCGGGGCGGGCCGGGGCCGTCCTGTATCCGGCAGGTGAGGCGAGTTGGGCCCGGCGCGGCGCGGGGTCCCCCTGTCCAGGAGGCCCCTCGGGTCGCCTTGCTCGCGTGGGGACGCGTCCGAACCACCGCCGCCACCTCGCCTCGGCCTGCTTCGCGCGCCCACACTTCGCACGCAGCAGCCTTGGTCCAGTGAGGCGGACGGGACAGGCGACTGAAGGCATTCACAACGCGTGATGGTCTAGCGTCGCTTGGCGTCGCACTGCACGATGGATTAATGTGGTCAGGAGCACAAGCCAGTTTGAGGAGGAGGAGAGGACCAAGGTCCCGCGGCTCCGCGCCGCCCCGCCAGGCCCCGCCAGGCCGCGCGCCACTCGAAACGAGAGACGCGAATTGCGTACCGCCCGGAAGCGAAGCGGACAGGGAGGAAAAGAGAATGCCGGGCCGGGTCCTCATTTAAATTCGCATACATGCGCCTACTGAAGTTTCCAAAGAGGCCTCGTTTTATCATCCACTGGGGATGATCGCTCTCCCTGACGGTCGCGCGGCGTTTTTAGATGATGGGGGAAAGGCGAGTATAGCGACTCAGCCGTCCCGACTCATTTCCAGTTGATTGAGTGAATGTCGCGTCTTGTCGTCAGAATCCCACTTGATTGTAGAGACAAGTGACGAATTGGCTGGGGGCAGCTGCGAGCGGGTGAGGGGCGCGAGTGGGTTGGGTGGGGATGGGGGGTGCAAGCGAAACGGTTCTCCTCGCCGTGAGACAAGCTTAAGTTGGCCAGGCGTCGCGGCGCGGCATGGCGAAGAGGCTCGGGGGTAGGAGGGGTGGCGGGGCGGGCCTGGAGGGTGAACAGGGCTACAAAAGCGCGGCGCAGCGCGCGCGCCAAAGACGAGGCCGGGTCGGATTAAATCTCTTTACTTATTCACTCTTGCGCTCGATTGAACGGCCTCACCAGTCCCCCTGTTAAAAGAGCGGCGTCGAAGCGACTGGGGACGCGGCTCGGCTGCTTAGGCGCACGCCAAGAAAACTGACGAAAAGAGAGAAAGAGAGAGCAATGAATGAAAACGCGCGCCGCTTTTTTGCTCGAGTCGTTTTGAAGAGAGAGAAATATAATGTTTTGGACCCGTGTCTTTGGTAGTCGAGGTAGCAAGGAGGTAGTAGAATGGTTTCCTGGTGCACAGTGTTGGATAATACCAGCTAGCCAGTCCTAGTCCTTGTATCTCGCTCTGGCAGGTCACACTATACAGTACACTTTCACTGAATGCGAGCCAAGCGCTGCGACTCCAGCCTGAAGTTGTCGCGGGGGAGGGGCGCGCGGCGCGGGGCGCTGGAGGTGCGGCTGGACAGGGTGACAGGTGTTTGCGCGCTAAGCTCTCCGTATCAGCTTGCTTATCCGAGCAATGCCTCGGTAACTGGGCAGTGGAGAGCGGCCAGGCCGAGGGCCGGGCCCGGGCCCTGCCGCTCGGCCTGGCGTGCCGCGGGACGCGCAGGGCGAGGCGCAGGAGGTCCCTGCCTGCAGGTCCCTGGAAACAGAACTCCAATACACTGTGTCCTGCGCTGCACTGTTCCGTTCAAGCCGTGACGTGGATCGTGCTCGACTTAAAAACTCGCACAGTTTCTGGTAGAAGTCGTGCCCTTTAGCGTGCGGTATATACTGTACCGCGGTGTAGACGTGCACGCGGGTTGCCTACTCCTCAGGGGCCCGAAGGAGCTGTTACGATAGATGACTTGCGGCCACACACGCTGCACAGTGGCAGCCGAGGTGGCAGCACATCGTATTTACAAAAAGCTGCCCACTCGGCTACCCACCCACCTGGTGCTTGCTCGCCTAAACGGAACATATTTGTCAACATACAATCCGTTTGGCACGGGCATCACCTGGGCGGCCGCACCTCGCTTCGTCCAGAGCCCCGGGGAGCAGCAAGCAGCCTCTCTCCTGATGCTGCTGCTTAAAATTCCACCTTGTTAAAGAAAAGGCGGCCCGCTAATTTTCTTGTGATTTTACATTTTTCGTTGACGGGCGCGCGAGCAATTTATCATCTCGCGGGGCGTCTTGCGGGGGGGAGGAGAAAGGGGGGGGGCACGGGGCCGCGGGGGCGTCCACTAATGGCGGCGGGAAGTGTCGGGCGATGATTTTCCTGCAATCTGTAGGATGTAAGTATATGTAAAGAGCGGCGGGGCCCGGCGGGGCGGCGGTCGCGGGGCAATAAATCAGTTCGCCTCACCTGGCCCGAGGAGGGGAGAGGGGGGGGGGGTGGCGAATAATGATCGGCAGAGTGCCGCGCGCCGCCACGCGCCATTCAAGGGTCCGTATGGTCGTGGTAATTGATTCCACCCCAAGTAAAGTGAAGCGCCACCGCAGTTCGCCGTGCAGAATATTGGTAAAGAACAACCCACAGTTTCGATGACAGCAACATTGCAAACTCGTCGCACGAGCGTGTATGCCGCGGGGTCGGTCGCGCTGCCCGCCGCCGCCGGTTCAAATGTTGGCGCCAGAAGTACCTGGGGCCGGAGCTGGTTGACCGCCTCGACGAGAGATGGCGCTGGCTGTCCGTGGACGGGAGCCTCGCGCGCCGGGGCCCCGCGCCGCCGCGACGCTCGGCCCGGGGAGTGCCGCGGGGCAGAGAGGACGAGGCCCCGCCCCTCGAGCTGAAGGCTCGCTTGTGATCTACATGAGACTACGACGAACACAACGGGTCCCACCGACGTCACCGCGGGGGCCCGGTATACCGAGAAGATTGCGAATCACCTTTTATTCTTGCTGCGAAAACCCGACGTTGATTTTGTTTTATTTATCGCGTCCGACGATGTGACGCGTGAGGAGGAGCGACGTTTTCCGAGGAGTCGGCCGCCGGCAGCGACAGTTGCCGGGTATACGTATGTTTCCTCGAGGCCGGCGTCGGCTCCACGGGATCCTCCTGAATCACGGGTGGTAGCCCCGCAAGCTAACTGCCTTGGCGCCCCCGCGAGAAATCATCCACAACGTGTTCCGCCGCCCGGCCTCCACCCTCTCTGCTCTGCCTCCCCTGCCCGGCCCTGGCCCTCACGTCCCATATTGTCTCCAAGTGTCGCCCTCTTTGCTCGAGTCCCGAGAGAGAGAGAGAGAGAGAGAGAGAGAGAGAGAGAGGGGGGGGGGGGGGAGTGCAGGGAGGTCGAGGCCACCGCATGACCCGTGAGTATCGCCGACCCTCTGTTTCCGCCAGCAGCAGCCTCCCCTTGCCGCCCTCCCCCTCCCCGCTACAGCTACTCGACCCTCCCTTCCTCTACTCTCTTTCCCTCTTTCTCTCTCTCTCTCTCCCTCCCTCTCGCCCCGCACAACACTTACATCAACTGCCCCGTGTCGTTTTGTTGGCGGCGCGGTGCTCTTTTGCGCGACTGTCCGCAGCGCAGGCCGCGGCCTGGCCTGTTATTAGGTGAGTCTCGCTGTCCATCTCGTTAGGCCGCCCTGACCCGGACGGACATGTGATTTACTAATGGAGCCGGTGACACTCGTCCTGGCCTCCCCCCTTCCTGCAATTCACGGTGGCTCCAATTGGACGACGCGTTTTACCCGCGCAGAACGGCGCGCCTCGCTCCCATCCTGCTAATTTAAAGTCGGAATGAAGGAGCGCCGCAGAGTTTCACAGTGATGCGCAGCGGCAGCAGCGGCAGGGAACATCATCCCCTGGCCACCGGCACTGATGTTTTATTTTATTTTTCGAGGAGGTCCAGAGCGCGGTCCGGTCCGGTCCTTTCCTTTCCGCTGAATTAGCAGATGAGTGTAAACGTGAAAGCAGAGCAGCACTCGGACCCGGCGCTCCCGCCTCGGCATCCCCGGGCCGGGCCGGGCGGCACCCTCCCTCCCCACTAACCACCACCGCCGCCGCTACCGCACCGCTGCTGCCGCCGCTGCTGCTGCTGGTTCTGAATACGAAATCGAGGACCTCTCTTTCACCCGGAAACGGCGAATTCCCTCGCCAGCCTCGACGAGCCGCGCCACCCACACACCTCCAACTTGTGAACAACTTCCGACCGCCGCGGGGGTGGCGGGGCGGGGCGGGGCGCGCAAGGACGAGACTCTCGCGGCGGCAGGCGGAGCCCAGGCGGAGCCCAGGCGGAGCCCCGCAGGATGTTCTTTATTTCCAGGATTTTCCGCATCCGGCGGGGGCGCGGCGGCGGCGAGGGGTTGGTTGGGGCGCGCGCAGGACTGTGATGTGGGTCGCGGAAAAACTTGCGCTGGCGGCGAGCGCGCGGAATTTGTGAGAATCCGCGTGGGGATGAGGGCAAAGGGTGAGAGGGGAGGGGGTGGGGGGAGGACGCTGTCGGGCCGGACAGCTCGCGGCAGTGGAATCAATAATGGCTACTTATCATGTGACTGCCGGGCTGGGCCGCGCTGGCGGCGGCGTGCCACCGCGCGCTGGTCCCGGGGGACGACCGTTCCTTTATCGCCGAGGGCCGCCGCCGCGACGGCTCCTCCACCCCCATCCTATCCAATAGCGACCCTTTGGCCCGCAAAGCTAACCGAGCCCCGCCTTAAAACTCGTTTAAAGTCGCTGCCGGCGCTGCTCAAGGCACTCTGACGGACACCTCCAGCCAGAGGAGCTCCTCCACCAAAGACGCCCCCGAGGCAGAGGCGGCCCTCGCGCCTGCCTGGCTACCGCAGCACTTTCTTTACAGCGAGCGCTGAATGAAAGCTTGATGACGAATCCCTTGTGGGGACGCCGCGCAGGGCCGCTCTTGCGCCCGCTGCAGAAGCGCTCTCCGTCAAGGACGCCGCGAGGATGTGGCGGGGCCCGCTGCTGGAGTTCCATGTCCCGCGCGCGCCCCTCCCGGGGCCAACGCCTTTAAACGATCGTTTTGTCGCTTTGTGGGCTGCTCCGCGCCCTAATGGAATCACCCGGGTGGCGCCGGGACTCCCCTCCGCCCGTGTCCTGCCGCGGTATGAAAAGGTTACGTTACGGTTATGGTCAACCTGGCGGTGGCGGGGGAGGCGCGCCGCGGCCCGACCGGGGCTGCCGTTGGGGTGAATTCCAGATGACACGGCCGGCGAGGGAGGCGCGGCGGCGGCCTCCGGGGACGGCCAGGCTGGAAACCTTAGACTGGCAAATAAATCCAGGCGATGTCACTTCCCTAACGGCGGCCGGGCAGGGCGAGGCTAAACTGAAAGGGGTGCGCTGCTGATGCAGGCCGGCCGTGTTATTCCAGCAGCCTTGTTGTTCTTCGTCACTCTCTCCAGCGGCGGGCATTGTGCTGGTCCGGACCGGACGGCGGTCCTCCTGCTGCTGCTGCTGCTGCTACTCCTCAATCCCGCCGCACGCGCGCCCGGCAGCAGCAGCAGCATCCATCATCGGGCGACAATAAGGTGACGGTCCACGGCGTGGCGGGAGCGGGGCGTGACGGGCCGTGTCGTCTGTCATCCCGACTGTCAAAGCACTGCTGCTGCTGCTGCTGCTGCTGCTGCTGCTGCTGCTGCTGCTGCTGCTGCTGCTGGAGGAGGAGGAAGCGGGCGTGAAGAGGCCGGTGATTGCGCGGCCGGATGAGGACACTGGAGGACAGGGCCACTACCGGGCAGCAGCAGCAGGTGCGTAGGAGGTGAAGGACTCGAAGGAGTCTGTCTGTCACCCACGTCTTGCTGAAACCGCGAGGACAAAAACTTGAACAGGAGAGTGACAGAGGAATGAGCGGGAATGAGTGTGACTGCGAGAGAGAGATAAAGAGACAGAGAGAGTGTGTTTCAGAGAGTGAGAGAGAGAGAGAGAGAGAGAGAGACCATCGACATGTAATGGGATGCGGCGGATTATTGAGCCGCGCGAGTAGCCTTTGACGTCTCGTTGCGCGCGTGACGCCGCCGCCGGGACGCCCCTGCCCCTGCCGCGAGCGGAGGGGAGGACGCCGCCATGAGGTCGCGTGTCCGGGCCGGGCCGGGCCGGGCCGGCGGGCTGTGGCGCCACGTGACCGGCCCGTATTGAAATAACAATGCGGCGGCCCGTGCCTAATATCAATGTGTCGCCATTGTTTTGAATTAAATCGCTGTATTAACATCCGCGCCGGCACGCGGCGCCCGCTAAATCGATTATTACGCCGTCGCGATTCTGCGTCTCTCTCTCTCTCTCTCTCTCTCTCTCTCTCTCTCTCTCTCCCTCTCTCCCTCCCTCTGTCTTCCCATCACTTCTTCCCCTTCCTGATTTGGTTTTTCATTATTTGAAGACAGCCGACAAGAGATACACGTACTCTACACCACCACCACCGCCCTGCTGCCGACAAAGCCTCAGGAACATTATTTGGCTTCTGATGTTGGTCTCTGTTGAGCTACATTTTGACATCTTTTTCCTACTTCGGATTTACTGTATTTCGCCGACACATTTTCAATTACATATTGTGTACATATCTCAGCTGCCCCTGTTATATTTTGTGTGAGATCTATTATCGCATTTTAACGCATTGTAAGGAAATTCATTTTGCACTTTATTTTGTAAGAGAACACAGTTTTGCTCATTGAATATGTCACGCGATGAAATTTCGGTAGAGCGTATAGTGAAAAGCCTACATCAAATGCAGTGCGTTGGAAAGGGAGAGAGAGAGGGTGGACAGCGCAACAGTGTGCGGGTGGGGAGGGCAGGGGACGGGGGTGTAATGCGACAAGTGGAATGGTATGCAAACCGTGGTGAAGGATGATGGCTTGTGATGGTCTTTGATGCGCCCTGATGCGTCTGCGAGGGGGAAGTCACTGTGGCCCTGTGGCGCGGCGGCGGCCGGGGCGGCGGCGGCACAGCGGGGGAGGGCGAGGGCGGCGCCCCTCAGTGACATAGCTGCGGGCCACGACCCGGCACTCCGCAAAGGGACTGGGCGAGGCGGGGGTTGGAGACGCCACAGTCAGAGAGCAAGCGAGCGAGCGGGGTCTATTGCTTCCTGCTGTGTCACTGGGGAGAACCCCGGCGCTGGCTGCCTCGGGCGTCGGCGTCGGCCCGCCTTTGTACACCGACGGAGTATTCTAATACTCACTAAACGGGAGCTTGGCCCCGGCACTTTTCCCTCCGGTAGAGACAGTCCTCAGGACTGTCTAAAAACCGCCTTAACGGGTAGCGCGTCCCGCCATCTAGCGGCCAGAGGCCGGAGTCTGACAACACTGACCACCGTGACACGACACGTCCACTACACCCACACACCTAGTGACAGCGTGCCTCCGGTCCGGCTCTAGTCAGGTTAGCTCAACTCCAGGCTTTAGATGACGCACGAGCCGCTCCTTGTCAGCTAGACAACACACCATACTGCCAAGGTAGTAGGAGAGTCGACAATGCATACAGGTGCATTGTTTCGTGTGGTGTGGTTTTGCACTAACGCAACGTAACTAACGTAAGGTCCGTACGTGTTTCTAGGACGCAGTTTACCTCTCTCGTCTTGTGGGCCCCGATGGCAACGTCTTCCGTCACCATGGAGCTGCTGCCGGACGACGTGCTCGTGATGGTGATGCAGTTCCTGGACGTGGCGGACGTCCTCGCCTGCCGCCTCGTGTGCAAGAGGCTCTGCGGCCTGGCCCTGCACCCCGACGTCTGGCGCCACCGGTCTCTCAGCGACGACGAGCCCTGCGCGAGCGCGGTGCTGCGACTGGCCCCGTGCCTCAACAAGCTGATCGTCACGGGCCAAGTCTCAACATTGGCGGTGACCACGACGCGTTGTGCCGTAAAAAAAATGATTCTGCTGGCGACACATACGAAGGCGACAGATCAGATGGCCTTAATGGCCACGGAGTACGCTTATGCAGTATACAAGCAGGAATCCCTAGGGCGCCTCAGGCATCTTGAGCTTTGTCAGATGTACCACCTGCATATGCCTGTAACCGACGTGCTATTGAGAACGGTGGCGTCGTGTTCAGATTTGAAGTCGCTCGTATTTAATAGCGAACTGCCGGTAACCAGCACACGCGTTGTACACGGACCGTCCAGATCGTCACTGACGTATTTTCATTGCCCATTTGGCGAGAGCTCGGCATCCTTCCTGCTCACCATACTGGCCGGGCACGCGGCTACCCTGGAGGAAATTAGCATCGGCTCAGATTTGGACTTCGAAGAGACGGGGACTGCTGACCTGTTAGCCGCCATGCCGAGACTCCGATTTCTGAAGTGCGAAGACTCGCTTCGGGGGTTTGAGGTCGTAGCGGAGTGCAAAACGCTCAGACGCGTGCACATTTGTCTGTTTGGGGACCATGATGAATTCGACGGGCTTCCAAAGTTCCTCCGCCGAGCCAAACAGCTTCGACGTGTCCACCTGGAGAACATTAGGCCGATAAGCGCCGAGTACAGCACGGCGCTGTTCGAGGCCCTAACCTCACCAGGGAGGTCGCATCTGGAGCGGCTGACCCTTGAGGGGTTCGAGGACGTGCGTCCGCTGTTCCACGCAAAGACCTCGCTGTCCCACCTGCGCTACCTGTCTGTGAGACTTGAGTTTATTGACGACGAGATGCTCCTGAGCATCACCCCCGTCACGGCTCCGGCCCTGGAAACCCTGGAGCTACGCTGCCGGGAAAAATGCCGCCACGCCTTGATACACAGGGACGCGGTCAAGGCGACTCTTGCGGCGAACACCTCGCTCCATATTCAGATCTTTTACGGAACACGTAGCAAGTGCGAACCCCAAGATTGCACGGTATGTGCGGGGGGCTGCCACCCAGCAGTAGAGTGGGCTAAGGTTTTCAGGATAGGACTTTTCTCGCATGATCCTGACAAGTGTCCCTCTCTGGAGGCTCACACTGATGACACCGAATGTTCGTGGATCCATATGTGATTTATATTTATGCCTTGATTGTGCTTATTCCGTACTTTTAGTTTTATTTTGTAATACATATGTGAAAAGGGTACTCTTTAGTTTTTCTTTTTTTACGAAAGGTTTATTATTAAACGATTACTAAATTATAATGGTCCTTCGAATCATAACTTGCCTACTCGTTCCCTCCCCTGACACGCCACGCTAAAAAGCATCACGTGCACAGACAGCATTTACGCCCCCAACCCTCCTGTGCGAACGGAAACCGAATCAACTCAATAAGTGTTTGGGACCGTGATGTTAATTTTAGTCATTTTAGTTAAATTTACGCATTTCACATTAGAAACAGTCCTGGGGACTATCTACAAGTATATATATACATCCCCTTTTCTCTCACGCGCCAGTATTGTGGTGGATGTTTTCCAGCGATGCGATCCTGTGGATTTATATTCGCGACATAAATTAGCCGCATACCGCCGCCGCTACCGCAGATGCCACTGGAGTCGCACTCATTTGCCGCCCCCAAACTTTCATCTGCGACACGGCAGCGCGAGTGGCCAGGGGCCCTGCAGTAGGGCGGTGCGGGGGCGGGCGGCGCCCGGCCGCGCAGCAGCAGCAGCGTCTTAAATTAGCTTTCTGTCATTATAATTCCATTTTGCATGGAAATAGGCTTAATTAAAAACAAAGCGGTGATGAATGGGAATTCTTAAGGGGAAGATGCGGCCGAGGCGACAGCAGACAAGCCTTAAGGCCTTAACTGCAATAATTACGACAACGTGTCCGAACAAGTGGCCCTTAATGTCGGCGCGCACCCTGGATTACGATTAGCCCCCCGCCCCTCTACGCGAGTGCGAGTGAGAGCGACTGGCGTTGTCGTCTGGTGCCCACCCCTCCCCGCGAGTGCGAGTGAGAGCGACTGCTGTTGTCGTCCCCGCTGTGTGCCTTTGTGGTCGGCCGCCCTCCTCTTGCGGGGGGTGCAGTGAGTTTTTCAGTCGAGTCGTCTTGTCGTCTCTCTCGCTCTCACGCGCTCTCTGCGTCGTCGTCGTCCGTCTTCGCGGGTCCATCTCTCTCTTCCCCTCTGCACCCTCCCGATCCCCCAGCCCGGTGGCTGATTTAAACCCCGCCGGCAGCCCTTGGGAGGTGATGCATTAGACCAGCAATTAGAAGCTCCTCTCTACAAGTCGCCTCCCCCCCGCGCTGCTGCACCACGGCGGCCACTATCGCTGCAGGAAAATAACACCCCCTCCCCTCCGTGCCGAAGTACGAGACGCTGGCCGAGCCGTGCCGCGAGGTGCCAGTGGAAGGACCGTACTTGTTCAGAGAGGGGCGTAAGTGCGCTCAGACCGCACTCCGCGAGACTGCTTGCCTCGCGCGCAATGGTCCGGAGCTGCAGACAGGAGCAGGCGCCACCCCTGACAGACGCGCGTGGTTTTCCCTGAGGCCGGCCGACTTCTCGACATCCCCGTCCATTTATTTTCTTTTATCTCGGTCCGATTCCGATCCGGTTATGCATCCCCAACTCTGGCGTCGCGCCTCTCTCTCTCCCCGGCCTCCCGGCCACAGGCGGCCGCGCCGAGCAGGGCCTCTGCCGGGCGGCGGCCTCGGCACGGATTAGCGCCGGGACGGGGGATGGCTGCGAGGCAGGAAAAAGAAGAAATGAAAAATATGGTCGAAATGAAAAATAATGGTGATTTAGCAGGGAAGAGGGAGGGGTTGTAATGGGCGGTCGGGTCGGGTCGGGCCGGGGGGCCTTGTCGCAGCAGTGGCCCCGGCAGGAGCCGCCCGCCCTCGGCCCGGCCTCGGCCCGGCCACGTATCTCAATTAGCCCGAGATATTCTGGACACATCGCAAGACGACAGGGGATGAAGCGCCCACTCCCTGCACTTCATTTAGGACACGCCGCCACCTAACCTCAAAAAAAAAAAAAAAAAAAAA